TCTTCTTTCTCTTACTACTATTTTTTATAAGCTATCTGTATTAATAAAGTATATTAGTAATATATAAACGAATCTTCTTTAATATAAGCTTATCTTATTTCTCTTATAACGCTTTTTTAATATCCTTATCAGAAAAGAAGTGTTTTTAATAAATCCTCTACTTAATTATATTTTAAATACCTTTAATTAGGTTCAGATCTAGAGACTACGTAAGGTATTTAAGGTTTACTACCTAATTAAGCGTTTTAAACTATATGGTAAGACCTTCTTTCCTTATTCTATAAGAAGAGTTACTATTCTCTTATAAATACATTTGATTTTACGTATAAAAGCGTTTAGTTTAGACTAGATTAATATAGATAAGAAAGAGCCTTTTAATATAGTATTTTTAGGTTATATAATTACTTTTTACTCTCTTTTTAATCTTATATAGCTTTTCAGCTTCCTAAACACGTAATTATTCTTCGTACTTCTCTTAAGTCTTAGTCTTTAGTTAATAATAAGGTTTCAAAGGTATAAGAGGTTATTCTTTAGAATCTTCCTTATTATTATAGAACTTCAGTTTAAGTGCCTTCCCTTACTAATTTATTTATATAATAATATAAAACGTAGTTTCTTTTATCTCTAGCTTTTTCTAAATATTCTTATTAGCGTATCTTCGATTCCCTTTTTCTTATTGAAATATATAGCTTATAAGCTACGCTTTTAAGTCGTAGTAAGCTTTATTTGTAAAAGTAATATAGCTTTAGAAGTTTTTAATTATCTTTCTTATATGTTCTTCCTTATAAGTAATATATTCCTTCTTATTTTTTCTAAAGACCTGCTTTTTAATAAAGGCTATTTTAAATTAATAAGTATTAATAAGTTCTTTAAGCTTTCACTAGAGCTATTATTACTTTATAAGTAAGTTATAATACTTGATTTAAGCTTCGTAGTATTAATCTTATATAGGGTTCTAGGTAAGATCTATAAGTATTTAATATATAGCTTTTATAACCTTAGACTTTCTTCCTAACTTCTTTAAGACCTTCTAAGTACTTTGAAAAGGTTTAACTTTAAATATATCACGCTACTGCTTTTAGTATTAACTCTTACTCTCTCTGATATTCTATTATTAGTATAACTCTCTAAATAAAAGCTTTAGAAAGTCTTAGTTATACGCGTCGAAGAATCGCTAGCGCTTTCAAGTAATAGCTTCCCTATTTAGTCTAAGTGAAAAAAGAGGCGTATACCTCGGATTTATACGTGTTCTTAGTACTATAAGTACTATATTCGTTAAGTTATAATTAAGTAAAGGTAAAAGAAGTTAAAATCGTATTTTAGAGTTAACGCGCCAAGAGGCACGTGCGCCAAGAATTCTAATACATACTAGTGCCCTTTAAAACATAAGAAATATATTAAAAAAGTACTTTAGCGCTTATAATAATATAGACTTTTTATAAATATCTAAAAGAGTAAGTTTTATATTAAGAATATTATATTTTTTTTAGCTTTTATATTATTATTAAAAGTATTAAGATTAACTTTAAACTAATAATATATATAAATAACTAAGAACTTCTTAAGATAATTTAAAGTATTTAGTTATTTTTAGGATTTTATAACTTTTACTAGAAATTTATCTTTAATTATAATAAAATTATTAAACTACTAATAAGACTTATTAAAGCCTTAGTTCTATTTAAGATAATACTAACTTAGCTAGTTATATTTTAAGCTTTAAAAAAAGCTATTTTATCTCTTATCTATTTTAAATACTATATTATATTATAAGAAATATAAATTAAGATTAATACTTTTAATAAAGTAATCTTAGAAGTATTATTATAGAAGTATAATAATAATTAATACTTAATTATATTCTTATCTAAGATTATAAACTTTATTAAACTTAATTATAATATCGATAATTAAGAAATATTAGTAATTATATATCCCTTTACTTATTAAAGAGTAGAGCTAGTATTAGAAATAGGATATTAATAGTTCTAAGTATTCTTAGATTATAAAGTACTTAAATACTTTATAACTTCTAAAAAGCTTATAAAATAATAAGCTTATTAGTTAAAGATTCTAGTAGATTTCTATTTTATTATTATATATTACCTTAGAAACTAAAATATAATAATAAATATATTATTATAAAGAGTATAAGATATTAATAGATAAATTAAGATAAAAGATAAATTATATAATTAAACTTTAATCCACTTAAGCTAATTAGACTTATATATCTTAAAAGAACTAAAGAAGTATTAAACACCGACGTTATATAAGCTTATTCTAGGTTTAGTATATACTTAGTAAGTATATTATATATATAGTATACTCTTATCTCTTAATTCTAAGAGGTAATATTCTTTTAAATATATATTTTAATACTATAACTTCTACTTAATTAAGTAAGCCCTTTATTATATAAAAGCCTACTCTACTATTATATAATAAGAAGCTTCTAGATATATACTACTTAGCCTTAGTTAAGTTTAAGCTAAATAATAAAACTAATCTAGTTATAGAGCTTATTTATATTAACTAAACTTATAAAGTTTTAATAGTTTAATAAGAAGAATTAAAGGAACTTACTTATAGTATACTCTTTAAGAAGATAGCCTACTCTTATTTAAAAGTCGATTATAAGTCTTAAATATAAATAGCTTATATACGTAACTTATCTAGTATATTTATAACTAAATCTTTATTACTTACCTTAGAAAGTCTAAGATATTTAGCTTATTTTATATTAAGTACTATTAATAACTTACTTTTTAAATAAGTACTTTAAGAATAAGAATCTATTTAAATAAATATAAAGTAAGAGTAAAAAGTCTAAGGTATCTTAAAAGTATATCTTAAGTAAGATAAGACTTTATAATATTAAATTAAATAAAAAAAGCTTACTTTTAACTCTAAATTCTATCTTACTAAAGACTTTATAACTTATTTATATAAGCTTTAGGATTTTTATTAAGCTAACCTTATAGAACTAGTACTACTTAAACTACTTCTTAAGTAGCTAACTATATAAGAAGCAGAGAATAATAATATATATAATAAACTAGTACATAATACTATAATATTTAAGATAAATCATAAAAAGTTTTTCTATAGCTTAGAGATAAGCCTTCCTTAAAGAGAGAAGTAATATAATAAACTGATTATAATAGGCTAGTTATATAAGTAAAGCTAATATTATAAGGCTAACGTTATAAGGCTATGAAGCTAAAGTTATATAATAAACTTAGAACTAACTTAGTTTACTAGTAGTTATATCTCTCTTATTTATTTTTAAAGCTCCTTAAGAATCTCTTTCTCTTATTATCTTTTTTATTTTATATTATAGCTACTAATAAATATTTATTATATTATTATACTAGTATTTAATAAATTATTTATCTTTTTAGTTATTTAATCTATAATTTCTAAAGTGAAATATATAGTAAAAAATAATATAAGATTATTAATATTAATATCTTTAGGTATCCGGATCTTAGTAAAGTAATCTAGTAAATTTATTAAGTAATAGGTATTATTATAGGTTTTAAAGGTATAATATCTGATCTTTAAGTACTTATATTTATAAGATTAGCCTTTATATCCTCTAATATTATAATAATAATAAAAACAATGATTTTAAGTAAGAAATAGAGCTTTATTTATATATTAATAATACGCTAGGTTTTAGTGTTTCTTTAGAATAACTATTATTTCGCTTCGGGACCTATATTAATTCTAATGGCAGCGTAACAAATAAAACAGAATATATATTATATAATAATAAAACATCGTTAATTAAGAAGTCTTTAAACATATTATTATTATAATATAAGTTCTTATAAAAGTATAATAATAATATATCTATTTATAATATATATATTAGTAAAATAGAGGCTTTAAGTTACTCTTTATTTTATAACTACTTATAAACGATTACTTAAACTCTAAAAGCTAACTACTTATAATATTAATCTCTAGTTTTATTATTACTCCTAGACTTATTTATATAGATGATTTAATTAACTATAGTTTATTAATATTAATACGCTTATTTGAGCTAAAGCTTTTAATTTGTCTAATCAGCTATTACTCTTAATATCTTTCGTATAAACATAATTTTTTATAAGATATTATAAACTATAGTTCTAATAATATCTATATTAAATATATTCTTTAAAAACTCTATAATCTTATCTTAATATATTTAAAGCCTCTTATCTTAAAGTAGCTTAATTAACTTTTTTTATTTCTCTTATAATAACTTTTATTAGCTTCTTAGAACAAGGTAAAGTATAGAGATCTTATTTAACTCTCTTTTTATAGTAATATATTATTTATTCTATAGTTTTATAAGTGTTAATAACTGATTACAAGTAAAGTCAGTTAAAAACTACTCTTATATTATAAGGTACCTAGAACGCGGGGAGTAAAGAGATAATATTATATTAACTAAAACTTAGAGAGAGTTTTAGAGCTTAAGAGACGTATAGCCTTTAAGAGCTGTAGCCCGAAATAGCAAGAGCCTCTAACACCTTAGAATATAAAGTGTATCTTTAATTCGTACTATAATATTAATATATAAATAAGAAACTATTTATATAACTTAAATATTATATTATTAAAAAGATTAATAGTTAAGCTTTAATTTAAGTTACTTATAGTATATTTTAAAGGTAATTTAATAGTATAGTATTAAAAGGCGCAAATATAATAAATAATAGAGATAACGCGATTTCGCGATTTTATTAAGGCTCGGTAAAGTCACGTTTAAAGCTAGTTACTAACATTACTATATAGGTCACGTGTGCTGGCTTTAGCGACTGACCCGCGGATTCTAACTAGTTAGTGGAACAGCTGTAACTAAGACTTAGTTAGCCCGCCCGACACTTGCTAAAAACTTCACCGAGAAGTGTCCTTACAGAACTATACCAAATCTACCAATTGACACCTGGAATAACGAATAATAGATGGCTTCGTCAAGGCTGCACGAAACAGATGCAGATATGTTTCTTGATACTGTTGTGACTTTTCCAGACGGCTCACGCTATGAGCGGCTCGAGCCGATCACAAACTTCAGGAAAGACGATGACACCGCGAGGATTTTGTATCGTTGTCGAAGAAGAGCAGACGGGTTACTACAAAGCGAAGGATGCGATGATATATATGTTATGAAAGTCAAGTTTCAGTATGCCAATTGTCATCACGCATATATAAAACTAGACATTCATAGCAACTTACTATTGAATAGGGTTCCTAGTGTAGAGTTCAAAGAAGCCGTAGAAGGTCCAAATCCAGAGACATTGGCAGAGTTACACGCATTAGAAGCTTTTGCTACAAGAAAACAGGGTTCGGTACCGCATCTGGTAGCATGTAAGTGTGCCTAAAACATGAAATGTTCCAACTTGGGATGTGTCGGGATCTTGGAGAGACGCACGTCCATTCGCCTCCTAAAACCCCACATCTGGCTGCTGGCTAATGTACTTGTCATTCAGGGAAGGAAACGACCCAGGGAACTGGCGGTCTCTTTCCGGGGGGCTATTTGGTGATTACTGTCATGACTCTTATGCCCGGAAAGACACTTCTCGAGCTCGGTTTCTGGAGCCTGAAATCAGATGAACAAGACACGATCCGGAATGCGTTTTTAACAACGCTAAAGTAAGATCTATACTGTTCCATACGACCAAACGGCTGATCGACACTTAAAGTGACATCTGGCGTTGTGGCTTTGTGCCCTATGATCGCGCGCTCCGGAATATATTGTGGGAAAAGGAGACGAAGCAGTGGTAAGCTACGAGAGCAATAAGACAGCCGCGCAGTATTTTGTCTAACTCAGTACTATTTGGTATAGCTCGATCGTGGATTTCGAGCATTACCATGTGAGAATTGATCCGATATGCATGGACGAGAAGGATGAGATGGCGCAGTGGGGTATTTTACAGCGACCCGCGCTGAATTGGTACCAAGAATGGGCTCGCTCGGCTCCCAAGAAGCCTCGCTGATACCCGTCCTTGAACGCTGTGTGCGAGTGGCACCTATTGTGGCAGGACTACGTACCTGTAAGTTCTGCTGCTATGTGTTCAAGTATGGCGAAGACTGTAGTACCCACC